GTGATTTTAGGAGGAGGTTCCAGCCTCGTTCTCACACTGCCATCTTTTTCCCTGCTCCCACAAAAGAATTAAACTAGAAACCAATTATAGAAAGATATCTGAAAAATCTCCAATTAGGATATCAGAAAGATAATTAGAAAATACCCAACAGCTTAAAAATTAGAAATATATTCATAAATGACCCATGGATTAAATATTAAGTCAAAATAGAAACCTAAACATATTTTGAACTGAATGATAATGAAGATACATCATACCTTACAGGATACAGATAGCCAGTGCTTGGAGGGAAGTTGCAGATATATATATATAAAGGAAAAAAGCTAAAAATCAGTGTCCTAAGATTTCAGCTAAGTAGCTAGAAAAAGAACAAAAATTCAGGCCAAAATAAAGGAAAAGGGAATATTAAAAATAAATAAAAATCAATGAAATAAAAACACACAAATGTAGAGAAACATACATAAAAATTATTTGACAGTCATTATTAAAACTATATAGAGAACACTATCAATATTCAGAATGAAAAGGGGGATATCACTATAGATCTTAAAGATACTAAAAAGGTAAAAGGAGATTCTGAACATTTTATGCCAATAACTTTGAAAATTTAGGTGAAATTGATAAATTTCTTAAAGTAAACAGCTTACCAAAACCAACAAAACTGAAAAATGAAACCCAAACTGAAAAAACTGAAATACTGAAATAGTCCAATACCCACTGAGGAATTAAAAACTGATATTAAGAAACTCTCCCAACACACACACAAAAAAAACCCAGGCCTTTCCAGTGCTTTTTTCCAAGCATTTAAGAAAAATATAATATTATTCTTACATAAACCCCTCCAGAAAAGAGAAATGCTTCTCAGTATTTTTTATGAGGTAAGCCAACCTCAGTAACCAAAACATCACAAGGACATTTTTAAGAAAAAAACTTAGTCTAATCTCTAATATGAATAAGACATAAAAATCCAAAACAAAATATTAACAAGTTTAATCCAGTAATATACAAAAAGGATAATATAAAATTACCAAATGAGGTTTACTTTAGAGGTGTAAGGGTGGTTTAATATTTGAAATCACTAATCTAAGTCACACTATTAACCAAAAAGGAGGAAAAATCATCCAGTTATTTTGATAGATATACTAAACAGCATTTCATTGAGGGACTGAATGGAATAAAAAAAGGTGGAGAAAGGGGATTCACTGGCTCTCTGCTGACTACTGAGCTGGGACATCAATCTCCTGCCCTCAGCACACCTGGTTTTCAGACTTTCAGATTGACTAGAATCTATAACATTGGCTCTCAGGCCTTCAAAAAACACCACTAGCTTTCCTGGGACTCCAGCTTGGAGACAGATCTTGGGACTACTCAGGCTCCATAATCACATTGGAGACAATACCAAGTATATATTGTTTCTCTAGAGAATCCTGACTAACACAATATTATTTAAGAACTGATAATCAAAAGTCACTAGTAAAAAAGTGAAAAGGCAACTCACAGATAAGTAGAAAATACATCTACCTTTAACAAAGATTCATATCCAGAATTCATTTTATACTATGACCTAACTTGACTTTTAACAACAATTTTAACACAGACAATCACATAAATAGAGATGTAAGGGAACAGACACAAGCTTCAGGAATTACTTGCACTGCCATCAACTAAATATTAATGAGGAATAAAAACACAGCCCTTCTCAAATTGTGAACTGTTAATATTCACAACCTCAGAATTCCTTATAATCTTCAAAGCATGCTCACATTCCTACTTCATAGTTATAACTAAAATTGACAGATGCCTTGGCCAAACTGATATTCATTTTTGATTGTCAAATAACAAGATTTACTTGTTCTTATAGGTGCCAAGCATTGGGTAGGCAATGCAATGGCATAATAGACATAGTTCCTACCAGCATTTAATTACTTTAGGATAAATACCTATGTTGCAAATTATTGTAGCAAATGGCATGAATAATTCTGTGTTCCAAGAACCTTGAAATTTGTCATGGCATTTGATACAGTAATTTACATCTAGACATTTATCCTAAACTAAATACTTAGATGTGGATAAGAAATTGTACATGGTATTCTATGCAAATATATTTATAATAGAAAACATGTTAATAACTATCCAACAATGGAGAAATAATTAATGTATTATCATGTATCCAAAGATAATGGAACAGTAAGTCCCTTTGGTAGTATGTGAGAATTCTCATTTTATCCTATCTTTCAATACTAGGAATCACCTCTTTAAAATTATTGTAGGAAGAAGAGAAATTAGCTTTAAGTTAGACTTTTAGCATGGAAATGAAAATTTATTGTTTTAAGATAATTATGCTTGTCTCTTAAAGTTAAAACAAATCTTTTAGAAATAAACAAGTTTTCAATACTATTATATTCAGGTGACATTGAAGGAGTTTTTATCATTAATTATTGAAATGAAATTACTATTTTTTCTTAAAGATCAACACATATGCACCTTACATTCTTGGGTTTTGATGATTTTTGATGACCTTTATATTTAGTTATATTTTTTAAATTGAGCTCTTTTTTTAAATGATAGGAAAAGATACCTACTTCACAAAAAAGTTGCAAAAATAAACTTTAAGCTTACAAAATGCAGTGTGTAATTAAAATGTTTCTAATCAAATAATGTATGATAGTTAAACATAGGTTTAATTTTTAGCTTTAAACATAATTTGTTATCAATATTAACTTCATCTAATAACAGCAAACTAGAGATAGAATTCTCCTAACAGTTCTTTCTCCCTCCAAACCCATCTCAAACTATGCCAAAGTAAGGAGAAAACAAGATGCTTCAGTCATTTTTAAAAATAAGACTAAACCTCACAATTTTAAGGAAATAATAAATTTTAAGAAAAAAAAATTATGTTTAATATTTATTTTTCCTTTTGTGGAAGTGTTACCCGAAGCTTGTACAACTAGTTATGTTATATAAATAAAAAATGCTGAATTATACTTGGGATTTAAGCAACTTTTCCAATTCAATAGTATCAAAAGAAAAGATAACACATAATTTTTATTAATTCTTAGTGAAGAAAAAAAAAGCAGGGAATTCCTCCTAAACTACCTGAAACAAGCAGCTATAAGGGCACCCATTCACCTCCCTGGTTCACTCCCAGTGCCAACTCATGCCAATTTTCCACTGTGGCTTCTGGAACATGTATGATGATAAACGAGGGTTCCTGCACCAGGATCACCTCACTTTCCACCTCTTTCTGAAAGGAAACCTGACCCCTCACCCAGGAAACTGCTTCCCTTGAAGCCTTCAGGAGTAAAAGTCACTCATTGTTCCAGACTCAGTATAATTTCTCTTCTTTTTTAGACAAATTCCTTCCTCCTATTTTGAAGCTCAGAACTAACAATATCACCATCCCTTCATCTACCTATGCATCCAGCAAGTATGTACTCAGTACCTACTGTGTGCCAGGTACTTTGGCGGATATAGGCTACGGGACAGCAACCCCTCAGAGTGGTGAAAATCTAGTGAGACAGATAGAAACAATTCATCACACAAATAAATAACTATCAATCATGAAAAAAAAGGAAGCTATTTGAAAGAATAGGATTTAGTCAGGCAGGAGTGGGGAAAGAGCATTTCAAGATGAGAGAAAGGAATGAATGAAATGACCTTGGTTTTCAAGGAAACCAAGTGCAATTGGGCACAGTGGGTGAGAATAGTGGTACAGAGGGTGAGAAGGTAGGCATGGCCTTCAGGCCATGAACATGAGGGCCAGAATGTGCAGGGCCTTGAGGATTATGCTGGGCTTTGGATTTTATTCTACATGTAATCAGAAACCATTGATAATAGTTTTAAAACTTCATTCCTTATCATAGTCACCCACTCATCGGCTCACATTTAGCCAAGACACTTGTTCTTCAGCTCTACTCTAAGTGCTTCCACATCCTAGACAGCTTCAACATCCAAGGCTTCTCAGTAACTCAGCATCCTGCACTCCAGTGACCTCCACCTCCACCTCAGGCAGACACTTCTTCACATTTTCCTTGTTCCAAACTACTCCGTCTCTGAAAATCCAGTTCCAATATTTAATTTTTAGGCTATGACCTCTCACCAGTCCTACTCTTCCATTCCTTAACACCTATCATTACTGTCCTCCCACCTTTACAATTTTTTATTATCTGATTAGGAAAAAATTGGAAGAATTTCATGAGAATAAGTGAAAAATTATTACTATTTCCTCCATCTCTACCAAGCCATGTAGGCTTCTCCATGATCAGATCAACATGTGTGAACTTACATGCACAAACAGAGACATACCAGTTTTGATAACAAAAAGTGAATCATACTGAACACATATTTGGTGACTTTTCTTAACCTAAAAATAAAAATCATGAACAAATCTCAAGGCAGCAAATACAGATAGAATTCATTCCTTAAACTGATGCACACTATTCCCCGTACAGATGCTGACTGTGGTTCGCTTCCAAAGAGGACGTCACTTGCCTGCTGCAACAAACTTGTAGACCCCAGAGGACCTCAAAGCAGGCTCTTCAGTGGAGCTAACTGCTTCTAATATTGGTAGTTGGAAAAGAACTTATGCTTGTGACTGAAAAAATCTGGGAACAGAACAGTTTCTCAGAGCACTTCAGCAGAACTCTCAGGTCCATGAGAACTGAAGCCATCAGCCTTGCAACTCTTGGCTTGCTACTGCCCAAGAAATGTGCGAGGCAGACGGCTGGAAGGTACTGAGGGGACCACAGCCAGGGGCAGGCCAAGGAAAACTCAGGCTTTCCCGGGGACTCAGACAGAAAGGCAGCCCCCAGACAGAAATAGGAGACACCTTCTGAAGCAGGATCCATGGAAGAAGGAGAAGAGAATTTTACTGAAAATATAATGGAATTTTAGCACTGAAAACAAAAAAGCAAATCCCAACACTTTCAGGAACTAAAAAATGTGATTTCTTAGTTAGAAATTCATATCCAACAGAAAAAGGGAATGACTGCCCTTCAGAACTATATTAGTGGTCAGAAAAATCAGGTGGAAGAAATACTTCAAAAGAAACCCAGTGATGGATACACTGAGGGAAAAGGCAAATTGGGCAAAGTCAGACCCAGGAGACAAAACAAGGAAAAGGAACACGTGAAAAGGTAATAATCACACAAATAATGGAAGAAAACTTTTAGAACTTAACAAAGTCATGAGGCCCTGCTATCAGGGATAAAGACAAAATTCTGCTAGACTGTTAGTGCCCTGGGACAAGGGCTTTCTTGGGTGATGGGAAGCTGCAGACAGAGACACTGCTTAGGGACCCCAGGGCACTGACTCCAGGCACCCCTGACACTAAGTGTGTTTCACACATCAGCTTCACATGGGAACAGTAAGCACACAGATGGTAAAAGTTCTAGGGTCTGGCAAATTTCCTTTGTTGTTCTGTGTCACTAGCATGTGAGTACCAAACCTTAGGGACTTTGTGGTAGTCATTTCCTTCCAGTCTACCTTACACAGAGCAGGTACTGATTTTAAATGCTATATGCACAAATTACTTTATTAAAAATAAAAAATATAAAAAAAGAACATATTTATAGATGAGGTAAATGCACAAGTGTCAAAAGAAACTCATCTTTATTTATGAAATGTACATAAAAGTAGTATGGTCATAGTTAAAAGTAGAAACTCTAGGTGCCTGACACCTACTACCTGGGTGGCCTTGGGCAAATTAAAGTAAATGAGATAAACAGCACCTATCTCATCAGGCACATGTGCCCACACAGAACTCTGTCTGGCAGAAAGCAAGTTCTCAGTAAATAACAGCAGTGTCACCTATGCCTGTGCTTTTAACGAGAAAACAAAACTGTACACAGAACTTACATCATAGAATCAGGAGACTTAAGTTCAAATGCTGAGTTTAAAACTTAAGGAGTTTTACATAATAGCCCCTGTAGTTAATTCCCCTATGCTTACATTTTTTTATATCTAGAATAGAAATATGAATACCTGCCTCTTTCAACATCCATCCATCTATCCACAAACATCAACTGAGTATCTATTATATACCAGATATTGTGTTTGGCTAAAATAGAAATATGAATACAATACAGGTTTGTCCTTAAGGAGCTCATGGTCTAGTGAGCAACCCTCAAGACCCTTAGTTTCCTTTCATGTGAGTATTTCTTGAGGCTCCCTTTCCCATAGGAGACAAGACAGGACCACAAGCATCAAGCATATGTTTTAGTACCACATGCATTATCATTTTTTTACAAAGACAATGCTAATATTCTTAGAAATTATTGAGCAAAAATTGGGGCCAGTTTCTGAAATAACTATATTTTGCTATTTGAAGAAAAATACTTTTAAGCAGTTGGGTCATTGGGAAGGTGCCCTTATAAAGAAACAATGCACGCCAACATGTTTTTTTTTTTTTTTACCTATTACTATCACTTGGTATTTAACAGCTATGACTTAAAATTCTATATTTAAAACCTCACAGAAATTATAATGGCATCTGAGCATATACCTGAAACAATATTAAGTACATTGAGACATTTGGTATCTTTAGAAGGTATGTAATTATACCATTATTAAAAATTAATATGCAGAATATTTTCCTTTATTAAATATTATATGTATGTATGTATAAGTGTAAAGCAATTATAAACATTATTTAAAAATCATGTATTTGGCTCATAACTGGCCTAAATTTATTATAAATTCTCTTGAATGGTGGCTTACAGACAGTCATAAAGAATGGATCTGGTTTCTTTGGTGTGGGTGTGTGAAAAATACTCTAAAAACTGATACAACTTAAACAGGAATTAAATCAGAGCTAAGTGAAAATTATCCAGCAATATGGAATACTAACATCTATCTTCTTTGAAAGTTCAATTGTATAAAAAAATTGTTTCGAATGTATTTACATAAAAACTCTAATACTACCACCCATAAATCATTTAATATAACAAATAACAGTTTTTTACCTAATAATTTTTTATACTCATAGTAAAAGCCTATTGCCTATAGCAAATAAAGACAATTTATCCAAACATTGTTACATAAGAAGTTTTAAGAAACTGTAAATAATTCTTAATACTCTCATTCTGATTCTCTGACTTTTCAAGACTATGTTGTATTTCTTTCAAACATACTTCCTGATGTTGTGCTTTCTAAATAAAAGAAAAGAAATAAAGACAATCAATAAGGACATTCAGATAAGAGTAAAATAATAGAAAAATGCATATATATGTTGAATATATGATTTTTAATTCTTTAAAAGAAAGAATCCTAATATCTGATGTGTTCATTAACTTACCTTAGAGCTCACTTTTCTTTAAAATCCACAATACTTAAGGCATATAATGGTTGATCTCTACTGTGATATGGTTTCTTATAATACACATTCACTTAGCACCACATTATATTTAGCATGATTAGCTTAATAAATTAGTTTTATTTAAAACTGTTATAATTAACTTCCATTATATTTAACATTCCATATTTTAATACTGGTTTACCATTTTTTCTGCCTAAAAGTTCGTACTTTATGCCATAGGAATGACTTTTCCTGTCTTAAAAATTGACAAAATTCTAGTCTTGAAAAATACGGACATTTTACATTTAGAATCCTGTAAAAAAAATAAACTCATACTATTAATAGAGCACTCTTAAGTAGGTGTTCTCTGAGGAAAAAAATTTTAAATCCAATATTTTTTTAAAATACTCAGCCACATATAAATTCCCAAGTAGATCTGTTCACTGAAAATACTTAAAAACAGGCTGCAAATATCATCTAGCTTCCAGGTAAAATGTAGTAATGTTAAGAAAAAATATCTTATTTCCTTCCCATCAGGTGTTCAGTGGTATCTGATACCCTCTGAGATTGAGTGATGCCCCTCAGGGGAAGTAGAATGGTATGGAGCAATGTGGCAGGCTAGGGTACACAAAGTCACAGAATGGATATAGGGATTCTTTATGGAATTTCTTGCTCAACAATTTTGTACTCAATTTTACTCAACAATTTGGAGAGAAAAACATTAATACAAACACACTTGTAGGGTGGGATGCGAAATGTGCTTAGATTTTAAGATAATAGAGGAGACTCCAAAGACATTCCAGGCTTTAGGAAGGTTGGCCTCAGTTAGCTGCTGAGGTCCCCTTGGATCTGTTCATCCATTCCACCCCACCGCTGGAGCACCTAGGCAGAAAATCTAGAGGCCTGCTACTGTGGGAAGGGCACTCTGGAAGACATGGGGATACAATCAAGTGGGAGACAGGCCCTCAGGATGCTTACAATTCAAATGAGCTAAGGCATGAATTCAAAATAAATACTGAGCCACCCACTTAACTGTCCCCTCGAAGAGACAGAACACAAATTCATTTTTCAGCAATGTCTAAATCTACACTTAGAACTCTAGATTGTTACTACTGTAAAAATTATAAGGTTTAATAACCCATCAAATCTTAACCCTATTTATTTTGGCAGCTTTAGCCAAGTATGGGAATAGCAAAACTCATCTTGGTATACCCATTTAATTATTTCAGCAGCTTCAATTACACAAAGAATATCACACATATGTTACAATACCAGAAACTCTTACGGTGAGTTAAAAAATAGTTTAGAATAATGGGAAAGCCTGTGCTTTTTAAATAAATCACCCTGGAACTTTCGTTAGTGTGTTTTATTCTAATTAAATCAACCTGGAACTTTTGTTAGTGATAAAATTGAACTAAATCAATGCCTAAAATCATTTCACTTTGGAACTTTCCAGATTTTCAACTGTTTAGACACTTCAGAATGAAAAAATAGTTTTCATGGAGTCTCCAACTCCTGGAAAAAATTAACTATCATTATTTTCTATGTCACTGCTAAGTAGATAGTAGATAGTTTTCAAGTAATTTAATCATGACTAGTGCCAACACTTTATATTTAGGAAAAAAATTAAAAGACTAATTAAACAAAGCCAATTTGGTCTTCTCATTTCATGGCCAAGCAGACCAAAGCATCCATCTTATATGCAGATGTAACAATGCTGAATATTTACTTACTGCCAACTTATAACTTTCTAAAATTTAGTATTCATTATTCAAGATAGATATCAAAATCTAATTCCTAATAACAGTTCAGAATGTATATCTTGCAAGAATAAAAAATTTATACCAGAAAGAAAATAAGCAGATTATATCTGAAACTTTCTTTAAGCAGCTGTCATGCAAAAGCAATATGCAGGGGAAGAGCCCAATGAGACTTTGGGGGAAATGGAACAGAAACTACCAAGGATACAGAATAATAATTTTTTGGCATAATCCTGACATTTTTATTTTTTATGATTTACATTGTTATTTTAATTTTATCAGTAAAGCAATAGGCATGATTCCCCTCACTTCGTACTTTAACTGTTTAACTGCTTAACTGTTTAACATGGTAAAAATGTTAATTACTAATTAATTTTTATGAAAACTTATTAAGCCATACTAATACTTACATTGTTCATTTTGCAAACAAGTTGATTTTGTTCTTCATTTTTCTTCCTAAGCTCAGTTTCCAGATCTAATATTTTAGTCTGCAAAGCCCTTTCTCTAGATGACATTTTCTCTATTTCTTCAGAAACCTGTAATTTTCATTAAAAGAGCAAAATAATCAAATATGCATTCTTTAAAGTATGACTTAAAGCCTTGATATAGTTATACTGTACCTCTTTTTTTCAAGGAGATATTAATTAGATGTTAATTAGAAAATGTTTAAACATGTTCTACCTTGAAGCATACACAGCATAAATATGTATACTTTTTTACACATATAAATATGTGAGTATCTGCAAAATTCACTTAAGATGGAAGAGGTATCTGAGGGGTATTATGTTTAGTACACATGGTGTGGGGGATCACAGGGAGAACAGTGTATCACAGAGACGGGACATAGTGGATCTCTGGCAACTTGCTGTACTGATGGACAGTGACTGCATTTGGGGTATGGGTGGGGACTTGATAATATTAGGTAAATGTAGTAACCACATTGTTTTTTCATGTGAAACCTTCATAAGAGTGTATATCAATCATACCTTAATAAAAAATTAAAATAAAAAAGATGGAAGAGGTATATGCATTTGTACTAATATGTCTTAGATAGGAGTTTTCCCAATTCTGTATTTTTATAACCTATTGATACCAATTGCCTTGCTTTACCGTATTTACATCCACCATTGTGTCTAGAGTGGTAGAAAGTTCTCATTCGGTGCTGATGATAGACTTGGATGGACAGAATTGGAGGCAGGGCAGGTGATACATACAGTTAACTCACACACAACAAGAAATTGGGTTTTCATTCATTCACTTCCCAAGTGGTCTGAATTTGAGTTTTCATATTTCTCCACTTATTTTAAAGAAAGTCTAGCTTAGCTATGTTCATACCAAGGATTCAGATATGCAGTAGCCTATTTGCAAGAATGTTGGTTTGGAGCCACAAGAATGAGAGTGGAGGCAGGGACTAGTTCAGGAGCAAGAAGCTAGTGGCATGGACTGTCCTCTAATCTAACTCCGTTCTAAGTTATCAGAAAGTGGTTTACAAAGATTTCTTGTGTGCAAATTCCAAGGGCAATTGTGAGTGACAGATGCTAGCAAGATCTGAAGCTTTGGAGAAAAAGCCCTCAAGACAAATATCCATGCCCTTGGCAATGTCCCTCAGTGTGGACAATGCTGACATGGTGGCCCCCACCCTGTGGCAGGAACTACAGACAGCTCCATCTTCTACTGGAGCAGGAGAGAAAGGAGAGCCCAGGTGCATTTTGGGGGACTCTGGACACTTTTGAAAAGACATCTGGGAGCACCTAGCATTTCCAAAGTTCCTTAGGCTGTACCCACGATAAAATCACTTATTTTCCTCCCAAAGTTTGGTGGGGCTGAGAAATTTGGATTACATTTCTACCACTGGTAGTACATTTTACTATACTATTTTGCTTTTGTTCAACGATGTGTTTTTAAAACTGAACTGAATTGGCTTCCCAAAGTTAAAAAAATCAAAATAATAAAAGTCTGGACTGCAGATTTATATCTGAGAGTCATTAGTGAACAATTTGTTCTTAGCATCATTCAATTCCGTGAGGAAATTTATCATCCCCATTTTACCAATTAAGAAACTCAAGTTTAGAGAAGTCAGGATATAACGTGTTAGTGCTAGAATTCAAATCTAGTTCTTGCTGGACTCCACAGGCCACTTCATATCATTTCAATACATTTTCAAATCATTTGATAAATGTCCTCTTCTTTGAGATCTTCCTGAATCATTTCCCCTCACGCCCAGGTGGAACTAACCACGCTCTCCAATGTATTTTGTACCCTCCCTCTATTGTAGCACTTACAGCTGGATGGCATTTGTTTGTTCATACATTATCTCCTACTGAACTGTGAGTGTCCTGAGAACAGAGGTCAGGTCTGTTGGAGGAGGTCATCAAAAAGACATGACTGCCAGGTGACCCATGAGCTGGACACAGGCAACTGGAGGCTCCCCACCCCTCCCTTGTCCTTGCAATGTACATTCTACTTAGCTTCCTCACTCCCAGAAGCTGCTGCGAGGATACAGCCGTTATATAAAAATATGGTGTTGAGACCATCTGGACTGGGTATGTGACTGAACCCCATTAAGGCCTCTATATAAACTTTTAAGATTTGGCAGGAGGGTGCAGAAATTTACCCATCTTACAGCTACCCAAGACAAGCCTCATAAACATCCCTACTTATTAAACCTACCACTTACCAACCTGGAGTGGTCTGACTCTTTCTTGCTTCTTTCCCTGACTTCTGCATGTGGGGGCCAGTTTCAGAGTACACTAGGGAAGCTCCCAGAGAGGATGCACACCAACAAGGTCTTTTCATCTTTGCAGCTCAAGCACCAGCAGAGTGCCTGCTGCACAGTGAGACATTAAATGCTAACCAAGTGGATTTAACTGGAATTTAATTCTTGCATGTTTTTTTTTAATGCAACAGTATTTGCCAAAAGAGGGTTGAGCTTTACAGCTCACCAGATCCTGATCAAACCAAAACGTTTAATAATTTGCACGTTTGCTTTGGTTTTATTTTTTTTTAAAGTGGGGGTAGGGGGGATAAGTCCTGCAAACTGTTTTTCATCTCTACCCTTTACCCTGCCACATCATCATTTATTTAGAGAAGTAACTAACTCTGGACTAGCAATATATCTGTTTAGCTCCAAAAGGGAAAATAAGGTAAAAAACTAAAGGTAATTGCTCCCTTCATCCTGACATTAGAATGAAAACAGTAACTGTAGGTTTGGAAAGATGAGATATTGTCTGTTTAAAAAGACAACTCTTTGGTAAACTAATTAAAAAGTTTCTAAATAAAGGCCATCTGTACCTTTTGTCTTCCTTCTTCCAAAGCAGCTTCCAGCTGTCTGGCCAATGCTGTATATTCTGCAGATTTCTCTTTAAACTTAAGATTGCTATGCTTAAGACATTCTTCTTGGTTTGCCAGCTTCTTTTCAAGCTCTTTATTTTCTGCATCCATCTGTTCTAACTTTCTTTTTACAGAAAACATATATTTTAAAATTATAGTGTGTGGAGAAAAATGCAACACCAATTTAAAGTCAATTTACTACATACTGTTTAAGGTTTTCACACTTCAACTGAATAAGATAATTTTCCTCTTCCAAAGAAAGCTTCATCAGAAGATTGTGATTTCCATCAACCTAAAAGAGAAAACAAAAAGTTTTTAAATTATTTTCTTTATATAACTTCCAAAGAAATCTATATACTTTATTGTTAGAACAATCACAGGTATACCAGAAGGTATAAATATTATCACTACTCTTACATAGAAGGACACGTTCCATTATTAGAACACAAGTTCTTAAACTCCTAAGTTTTAAAAAGCTATGTTGCCTTGTAGAAAATCATCTACTAAAATTTTTTCTGAAAGATGGCAATTAAAAAATCCTGAACAGTGTTTTATTGAAAAAGGATATTTATTTTATTAAGTAAATGTTAAGCTATTAAACAGATTAATCATCTATTGTTGGATACTTAGTTATTCTTATAGTTTTGTTTCACCTAAAGTGACTGATAACTATCTGTGAAGTTGTAACTATAAGTAAAAACCATATGTATGAAAAGCAAAATAGAATAAACAAGCAAATCAACCAAAGACACACCTGTCCATGCCAAAACAGAATATTCTCCCCATTGCTTCAGAAGCTCTATTTGGTTTAAGAAGCTCTGAAATAAAATTTTTTCTCATAATTTCAATTAATAATTTAGGTTATCTATGCAATTTGGTTATTTTCTTAGAAATAACCTCTGCTCAGGAATTTGAATTCAGCAGTTTTGTTTGCATGTTTTTAAAAACTAGATGTGTTTCAAAATTGAAATCCAGATTACTTTTGGAAGACAGGAAATCATTACTAAAATTCTTTTGCAAATACAGAAAAAGACTTGTTACCATCCTTAGACATACTTCTTTTTAAGAAAAATTAATTTTTAAGTGTTTAATAAGTTTTTACTATGTGCTAGGAAATGAATTAGTAGATGTAGATGGCTATGTGGTGACTAACAGGGCACCTATGATCCTGATCTGATGGAGCAAAAAGTTTATTTTGAAAAAAATAATAGAGAATAATCCAAATAAACTTGATGCACAATTCTAGTTAAACTAAATTCTAAGTTTTGCAAGGTAAATTACAATAATTTACCTTATTCTGACATCAAAAAAATATATGTAAACATAGCATTGCTCTTTCTCTCATGCTATTACCATGTCCTCAAATGTCTAAATAAAGATTTGTACAAATAAACTAAATCAGCCATTTTTAGTTACCAATTTTTCACCATAAAATGCTGAAAGAATACCATGAAAAATAATATTACAGTATCTGCAGGAAACTGAGATGGGAATAAAAAAATCAACCCCTGACATGAGTGCCCTCAACTGGTGAAATGGGTCTAAAGCGTTTCTTTAACACATCTAGCAAAAAGCAGAAAAACAGCTAGACACCTGGCCCTGAAGCTCCCTAATGGTGTGTGTCTGGTCTGCACATTTCCCCTTGTAGTGCTGCAGACTCTCCTGACACTCGTGAAGCCTCCGTTCCACCGCCGTCAAGGAATCATGGGCGCATTCTAACTCCTTCAGATGAGACTCCATCTGGCCTCTCATCTGAGATGTAGCATTAGGGAAATAAGTGCAAGATCATACATTCAGCATTAATGTTTTTACTATTTAAATATGAGATATGCTTTTAATATAATAAATACTCGAGGTATGATGGTTTTAAACAAAAAGACCCAACCAAATAAATGTGAATAATCATTTAGACTCTGCTAAGTAAGAATAAGACTCAAAATTGGGCTAGACTTTAATTGGTTTTCAAAATGTTTGTTGAGTAAATGAATATAGTAATATTAGCTTGAGGGGAGAAGATTTAACCTACTTAGGAAAGCAAACTTTTTGAATCTTGTCATTTATATTCGAGTAGAATTATTACTAAGAATGCTAGCATGGTAGTTCTCTACTGCCCAGCCATCAGTCCAAAGTAATCGCCACTTTCTGTCATTCAATCTTGTACCCCAGATATTTCAATTAGAGCAGCCTTGCTGCACTTACTTGGTTCAAGTACGTGGGAGTGCTGTATATCATTTCAAGATAGCTAATACAATCAGTCCTCAGTAGGCTGTAATTGTTCATTAATGTTACTATGAACAATAACTTTATCTATATTCTGTAATTTTAATTATATTCATAACTGCAGTGAGGCTACTGCAGTTCCTCACTGTGGCACTTGTGGAGATGTGACAAAAAGCAACCCTAAGAAATGCTTATACTGTTAATTAGGAAAAAATGGCCAGACATGGCATTTAGGATGCTCCTAACGAAGAAAAACAAGGTGCTAGACTCTTCCTGAGGTAGGGAACGCCTAGAGCTACTGTGCAAAATCTGGCATTCTGAACCACAAAAGAGAAAATGGAAACAAAGCATACCTCTGGGTCCCCAAACATCTGAGAGCCCATGAGAAAACCAAGAGACTTAGAACAGTGGGAAATGAAAAGGAAGAATTTCATTTTTAAAAACGACTTTTCCGGTTTAATACTACTTAGAAAACATTGTGACCTTACAATATTTCTGAAAATCACAGGCTCCTGACCCACCTGCCTTTTGAACAGATTTTTTAATAGGCCTTGGTGTTTGTTTTTCTACAGTGCTAACAAAAGAAAAGACATTTGCATTGGTGTGTCTCATGAGAAAAAGAAACCAAGACACATGAAATGATTTCTTCTCTGGTCTGCTTAAAATAGGTAAAAAGTAATTCTAAGAAAGCAGTTAAGTTGCACATTTGGTGGGCTATCCTTATTTCTGTTTAGCCAGCAGAAGTCTGCTCTGGCTGACCTTCTTTCACACTGGTGCCTCACTCTGCCTTCTCAATCCCAAAATAAGGGGCCAATCCAGAGACAGTCACCTTATTCCACTCAGTTGGAACTAACCAGTAATATCTCATGACCTCTCCAGCAGGGAGTCAGCATCCGATGACTTCCACTGCTTTCTTACCAAAACAACATGAAAAGACCGAAAGAAGGATGCAGTTTTATTGAAAAACTTAAAAACATTCGCAAAAACACTGGAACTTGCCAATACCAGCCTTCCCCTCATTCTGTTGCAACAGGGTGAACAAAGGGGAAATGATGCTTTTTTTAAATGATACTATCTTTCTTCCCAAAAAGTATTTAGCAGAGACAATATTTACTTCACTTTTTCAGAACCAAAAGATTTACTACCAGAAAAAAATATGAGATCAAAAACGAGATTCAAATTTGCATACTTAGTTGATGAAGCTCAGTATCAACTATTTTTTCAAGCTATTCAAGTCTGCTTTTGTATCAGAAAAATTAAACTTCATGCTATTTTCTGAATATTAAGGAAAAAGTGAAAAAACATTTACACAACCAAACATCTCAAGCCTGGAAGAGACATTATTTTCTCAGAAAACAAACTCCTACAGAGATTGAGAACAGATACTCTTAGGTCTAAACTAGAGAAAATAACAAAAATGAGAGAATTTGTACAATATTTACATAGTATAAAATACATAAATGTTATTTTATTACTTATAATGTCACATTTACCTTCTCTAGTTTTTTATTTTTGTTTTTTGTTATTAGGTTATTTTCATGTAGCAAATTTTCACATCTACTTTTCACTATTTCAGCTGCTTCTTGCAACTCTTCTATCTGAAAGTAAAATGTGTTAAAGTAAGATGTATTAGTTTATTATTAGGACCATAAAGTGAAATAAAAAGCTAAAAATCTTAACTTTCAACTTAAATCATTATTTTCCTAATACCCTCAGTATGTTTATTTAATGCTATTGTTTCTTTAAATATGGGAGTCACTCAGTGCTCTATGCCAATCCACAATCCTTTTATGATTCGCCTGTCCTTTCCCATCAATACTTCCAGACTCTTCACTTGAGCTCTGATTATTAGAGAGATTTTCATGTGCAGGTCAGTGTTATTACTTTGAAAAATCTCCTCTGGTCCAAAGTAGTTCCCATACCAATTATTTTACCCTCCAAATCAAAATCTACTCAAAAAATATCTGAGTAGTTTATACAAGGCCCAGAACCTAGAATAGAGTAACTTATCCACAGTATTCTTACTGAGGGATTAAACAGAACAACTAGCTGGAAAATCCATATGACATTCTCAATAACATGTCCCATAGTCCACCACAGTCCACATTCTGACCTCTGGCATGATGACTGCAATATTCTATCTGGATGTCTCAATTCCATTTTCCCATCTAAACCACCCAGATGTAGCTAGCCTCTTCTTACTTACCTGTTCTATTGCCCCCCTCAAGCTTTTTCCTTTAGTTCATTATTCTCTAATTAAAATGCTCTCTTTCAATAAAATCAAGTTCTTTATTGACCAGTGTGTTGCCCATCATTTCAGGACCTGCTTAAGTCTCATCTTCCTCGTGAAGTTTTTCTTGAATACTACATTTGTGAAACATAAGCTTTTCTATAAATTACTGTTGAATACACCCTCTATTCCATATGTATGGTCATGTGTTCTTTTTTTGTCTTTCCTGTGAGTAAATCTGAATAATATTTTCTTTCTTTGGAAAGAGGGATACTGGGCTTAAAGATCCTATAAGGGGGTTATCATCTTAAATCAATACCACTGAATATACAAAAATGAGAAATATAACCAAGATTAACAAGATAAACATACTGTTTATGTTACACCTATGTAATTAATTTTAGATCTACTTTTAGAAATATCCAATACATATACAGTCAATGTTTGAATCAAGAATCAGTACAATTATCTATTTATAAAAGTATTTGGGACCATAAGAAATATTTGGAAGGCAACATATTCTATCACAAAATAATAGCTCCACCTTTCTTCAGTTTGCTTTAGATTGCAAACAAATGCAGTGTTTTAAATTGCCTACCAGTTTTAATAAAAATTAAAATAAATACAATGGTCACCTGAGTTTTATACACTTCAGTAAGGGTTTTCTGTTGTATTTGTACTTCTTGCAATTCTAGCAGTTCATTTTCAACAGAAATAACCTCATCCTTCAAAGCAGCAAGTGTAGTCTAGCAAGGAACATATAAATGGTTTTATAAATCATTAGAATTCATTTGTACTCCAGTGCAATAGGATTATAAAAACATAACCTGTTTATCAACAAAATTAATAAAATAACTATTTTTGACTGCAGCATACAATTACCATCTAAAATTAAGGAATTTAAAAATGAGTAATGTTTATGAAGAACCTTAGTAAGGCTTACACAAAATATATATTTTTAAAACTTTTAAAATGTACTGACAAAAGAAGAATTGGAAGCTAGAAAGACCATGTTCCTGGATGGGAAGACTCAAAATTATTGATATATCAGTTTTTTCCAAATCAATAAAACCTTAATGCTATTTCAACTGGAAGTACAACAGTTGGGAGGGGGAATATGACAAAATTAATTCAAAAGTCTTATGGAAAAATAAAAAGACATAAAATTTTGAAAGTACTAAGTGGAGAATCTCAGTACTTATTAGATATTAAAATGTAGAAAGAACTAAAATTATTAAGATACTAACATAAGAATTTACAGATCAATGGAATAGAAAAAGAAAAAACACTAAAATTACATTTAGTATATGACAAAGATTGTACATTTTTAACCAATGGGAAAAATATGGATCACTAAATAATGGTAGTAACTGTTTAACTATTAGGGAAAAAAAAACAGGTGAACTATTTGCCCTTATCCAACACTATTTTTTGTATTTATTTAATATAAAAATAAAAGCTTTAAAGTTTTTCACAGAAGATTCAGGTAAAATTTTATTTGATTTTAGGATGGATAAAACTCTGTAAGTATAAAATCAAAAGAAGACATCAAGAACTGCAAGGGTCTAAGATTTTACCCTCCAAGTTTACAAGTTAGCCAAGCACAGTTTGTGGATGCTCACAGAAGGCACAAGCCTGCTAGTCAGAGATGCAGGACATTATTACTTATAGCAATAGCAGTAGACATCGGCATTTGTGTTAGTTTCCTCAGCCCCAATTCCCATAGGGCAACATAAAGAGGCCCGGATGACAACTGTACATGCAGTGGGAAGCAACAAAAAGGAGCAACCCTGCACTTTAGGGAACCCAATTCTCTTATAACAGGTAGTAAGCATGCTTACCCTTTGAAAAAATAGTGTAGCTCATAGGCAGTCAGTGTCTCTGCTTGCAAGATGTGCAGAAATGTGAGACACACCCAAGAGGAACCAAAAAGAAAAACAAATTATAACAAAAGAAGGCCCGTGTGGAGCAAGGGAGAAAACAGGGGAGTAGATAGAGAGGAGGTCAGAGAAGTATCTGAAAGTCAGATGTTTACTCTAGCAACCAAGGTATCATTGGAGGGTTTTGAGCAGAGCAGTGACATGGTCTGACTGACATTTTTATAGGAACCACTCTACTGCGACACTGAATGTTAACTGCAGGAATAAGGGCAGAATCAAGGAAAAGAGGAAGTCACTGTAACAAGAGTCAATGATGGCTTGACCCAGGATAATGACAGTGGTGCTAGTGAGAAGTCAAATTCTAGATATATTTGAAGTAGATTTACTGACAGACTGGAAGCAGGTGTGAGAGAAAGAAGTCAAAGATGACACCAAGTAATATAAAGAATGATTTCCATTAACTGCGATGAGGAAACTGTAGGACAAATTATTTAGGGGCATATGGGACTTCTGTTTTTGACATGATAACTCTGAGACATCTATTAAGTATCCAAGTGGATATTTCAAGTAGGCAACAGGATTCAGGGGCAAGGTCTAGGTGAGAAATAGAAACTTGACTGCCCCCAGTATATTTATGTTATTTAATGCCCCAACATTATATGAGTTCCCCATCAAATTTGGAGAGATTTATTTTAAAACTCAATAATACTGGAAAAGGTATAGGGACCAATTTATGCTGGGTAATTTGGAAATATATAACACCAACATTAAAAATAGCCTCTCTTTTGACTGTGTAATTCCACTTCTAGAAATTTATCCTAAGAAAACAGATATACAAAAAGACTCAAAGAAACTATCCACATTTTTATTTATAATAGCAAAAAACTGGAAGTAGTCCAAAATTCCAAAAACCATATATACACTTAAACTATAACTTTAGTTATCTTTCAGTCATGAGATTACAGGTGATTTAAAAGTTTTTTCCTTTTGTGCTTCTCTGTATTTCCAACTTGCTATAATGAACAAATAGGACTTTATAAACCTCCAGATAAACTTTTGGTTTTTTTATAGAGCAAGTCATTGGGCCTCAGAAGCAGGATCAGCAAGCTTCTTTTTCATGTGAAACTTTAAAATCTAAAATTATTCTAAAGTAATTAAAACTAACAAAATACAACATCTAGACAATGTTACATTGCAAATAACATGCCAACCATGCCTAGATTTTCTCCTTTAAAAAAATCCAGAGAATGTTAAAAATACATGTTTCTGAATTATTAATAGAATGTAAGTTGTAAACTTTTAACTCATTGCTTTTATACCTATGTAAATTGATTCCACTACCATGTGATTAAAAAATGTATCTATAATTAATGGAATATACTTCTAAACCTTTCTTTCTGCAGTGTATCAAGGGAATTCAGAAAATAAACATAATAAATAAATTTGCTTCCTCTTCCCAGATAAAACATTAATTCAAGTATTAATTCAAGAAATATTCATTAAGAGTTAAGTAGTCACACCTTCTCTGGGTACCCTGTGCATACAAAGATGGGAGTTTATGAAGAGAGATTCATTCTAATTGTAAAGACTTGAGGGGCCAGTAGCATTTGAGCTGAACTTTAAAGGAAAGACAGGATTCAGATAATGAGAAAAATAGCATTCCAAACTGTTGGACTAGTAAAACTATATGGATAGATGCAGGAAAACATGAGCAAATTGTAGGAAATAATGAGTATTCATATTTGGCCAGAGCTCAGGATAACTAGAAAACCATATTCCCTCGTCTCCCTTGCAGCTAGGTGGGGTAGAGTTGAATGGTATGGAACTTTCAGCAAGTCCCCTTAAAGGGGAAGAGATGGGGGAGAAAAGGGAGATAATTTGTCTTTGTTCCCTCCATCCTGTTACTTGAAAGTTGTCTAAAATGACTGGAGCCCCAGCAGCCATTTTTGATCATGAGGATGAGGGTCACAACCTAGGAACAGCAGAGTTGACAGCTAAAAGAGGCTACATCCTCTGATGCCATAGCACCTTTGAACAGCCAATTCTGGCCTTCTTTTATATAAACAGATTTTCTTCTATTTACTATCTTCCAAAAATAGTATTATGGAACTGCAAATGATGCCATCATCTTTAGTAAAGTGTCATCTGATTAGATGTATCTTTGATTCAGAACTCAAGTATCTTTTTTCTCAGAAAGTATAAAATCTTCTTTCCCATCTTTTCTCTGATACAAATACAAACCAATCACCGCTTGGATTTGATGAAGTTGGGAAGTTCTTTCCAGTTATGAAGCAGCCAAGAACATACTTTCTGCTTTCAAACAAATCAGGCCTGAAGTTATATCCTATTGTAACCATGATACCTAGAAATAATCTTATGCATTAAAGTTAATATAATTTTAGATGTTCACTTAACTGCTGAAACTAGAGAGTAAAATTTTTTAAGTTAGACAAAGAGACAGAGAGTTATTCAACTTCATAAATCTTAATACTACTGGAAACAATCTTAAAATGTATCTGTGTATATAACCATAAACTTAAACATTTATATACAAATGTGTGAATACATGTATATATACAGATATATAGATATGGTTTTACGAGTAATCTATTATAATAGATAACATGAAGATAAAGGACAAAATGATCAAGAGTACTATTTTAAACATGCTATTATTTCAAGCTACTTCCACTAAATGAACTAAGTTGTCATTACACAATACATAGACACACACAAACACATAGTACCTTTAACTTTGTATTTTCAAGATTCAGAGTTTCATTTTCATATTCAGTTGAATAAACTTTTCTAAGAATTTCTTCACATGCATTTTTTCCATGGTCTTCCACTTTCTTCAGGTCTTCCAAAAGATTAATGATTTGCCTTTAAAAAATAAATTATATGGTTTATAGAAGTCATAGAAGTTTTTATTCAAATAATAAATTTTTAGTATGTTCCTGAAGTTATTTTGGTAGGGTGCACTGTTTCAAAAGTTAACCGAGTCATAGAACAGGGAAATAGGAAGAGTAATATAAGATTACTATCTGAGTACTCTGATTAGAAATAGCATTGATGATGATGCCAATGAAAAACTGCACAGCATTCTCTTTGTTATTCAATAAAACATCTAAACTATCAGCTACAGGTATGTCTGTCTGTCTGTCTCTCATTCACACATATCCACACACATATACGCAATTTCAGGGACATGGTTAAACAAAAGGATTAAGTGAGGCAACAACTAATCTTTAGAAGCAAATTATATATGTGAGTTTTCAATGATAAAATGGAAGAGAATATGTGAAAATAAAACATTTAAAAGCAAATATTCAGGGTTATTATTGTTAGCTTATAAATAATAAATTTCAAAGCATAAAATGTATGTACATTTACTCACTGACTTTCTTTGATATGCATTTAAGGCACTTTAAGGAACAATAATTTTGAAAACATCTATGCTTTTATTACAAACTTTATATAGTCTTACACATTCTTATTAGTATAGAAATATCACTTCTATTTTAAAACATAGTCAGTATGAACATTAACTGAAAATAAAAGATGACACACAAACACCAAATACTAACCTGTAAGTTTGAATTTTCAAAATGTGAACAAACACCAATGCACTTTTAATGGGTCATCATTTTTAGAGTAAAAAAAGTTTATGGAATTATAAATAGAAAAATATCAAATCATACAGATGACACCTTTTCTACATATAATCCGTAAGAACCAAAATACAAACCACTCAAAAAGGAAAGAAACAAAAATACTTCCTATTAAACAGTGAAAAGATTCTAATTTTTCTTACTTTTTCATTGTTTCAATCTGAACTTCCAATTCAGTTTTTTCTATTACAATTTTCTCATAATGACTTTTCCAGGCATTGGAAGCTGAAATTGTTTCAGACAACTTGGCTTCCTAAAAAATACATAAAGTACTCATCTTGTGATTTAATGACACTTTGGTTTTGTTCAGGGCCCTAAACAGATTGTAAACAAGGAAACACTCATCCTATAAAATATGGAACTTTTGTTATTGAAAACTTCAGTGCACAACTCTGACATAGGAAAGTTTTAAAGTAAGCTTTAATAGTATCTTTATATTATTTTATACCACATATTAGCAGTTCCAACTTAACATTTTAAGGATGTTGATATAACTATTTTGAAACAAAATTTCATAATTAATGAAGATCATTTCCTTTCTACTTACTGAACTTTTCATTTTGCTTTCTATATACAGATGCTAACAACCACATAAGCATCAGAGGAAGAAGCCCTCTATGGTGTACACAGAAGAAACTACCTGCAACTCCATAATCCCACAGCACTTAATAATGCAGTCTTACTTATCTTTGTTATGATGCCAAGCCATTTTGTAGAGGTCAACCCACTGGCCTTCAAAGGGGTGCTGCTGTTAACAGTCAGCAAAGAGACTGAAGTGGCAGCTTATCCACTTTGAATGTGAGCTCCCAGGGGTAGAGCTTTTGTCTGTTTTTTTCATTGCTAGGGCCTTGAATTGTACCTGGCAGACAGAAGGCTCTCAATAAATGTCAAATGAATCTACTCTTTATAATTTCACCTAGTGAGCTGTAGCCACTGTGCCTCTTTCTGCATTTACAAAAAAATGCTCACTGGAATGACAACAGTGTCAATAATTACTAATCAGACGACTCAGCAGTATTGATAACAGTGAACATTTATTGGTTGCTTCCTTGTTTCCTTCCACCATCATCCAGTCACTGAACACGTACTTTTTGAGCATTTACTACATGCAAGATATTTTCTGTTTATATTTATAGGAATATTGTTGATATACTGAAGACTACTATTCTATTTCCACATTTTATGTACAATGAATTTTAATATGCACTATGAAGTGTAAGTTGGGCAATTATAAAGGTACTGAGAAAATTTACATATAAAATGCTAAGAAGAAAATTTAAAAATTTATGATATGAAGTGGAACTACTTCAAAGGAATGATCAAGAAAGGTCCCTCTGAACTGATGTCTATTAAAAAGAAACCTGAATGATTTAAAAAAGAACCAGCTACTATGAACCTGAGAAGAGCATTCAGCCAGAGGCAACAGCAAACAAAACAAGGAAATAAATTCCATGCATTAGAGGAATAGAAATGAGGTCAATATGGAAAAAATGTCATATGGCCAGACACTGTGTTTTGACATATATTTTCTCATCTATTTCTCCCTACAATCATATGGGATAGGCAGTATTATTAGCCCCTCTTTACAGACAAGGAAACTGAAGCTTAGAGAAGTGCCTTACCCAAAGTTAGGTGGTGAACAAGTGGAGGAGCCTTCCTATACTATGATCGGGGGATGCATGGCATGATGTAACACTATTTAAATAGGAAAATTCCAAGAATGTTAATGACTCAACTAGCTTTTACCACTCAAGAATATTTCAGGCACTCAACTAGGTCTACAACCTTCTATATTTTGAACTTGTCTTCATTTCTTTTATCTGGTTAAATCCTTCTGAATGTAGATTAAATATTAGAGTCTTAAGATGTTAACACTTGAGCTTATAATATATTGTTTTGTTTAACAAGCATTTATGGAAGTCTGTTTTCATTTCTAAAAGCTCTAATAATTCAATGAACCTTAACATAAGTACTTAACAGGTGGGATACTAGAGAGACATTAAAAAGATAAAATATTTTATTAATTGGTAGTTAAATAAACATAGTAATTCATCAAAACAACAAAGCACAAGTCCATTTTTCAACTTTGTACTACACCCAGAGATAACTTTCACATGTTGTGTTTACGTCAGTGACTGGTTTTAAGTGGTTACAGAGCTTAAATGAAGTGAATTATTGAATAAAGTCATATGTTCTAATAATATAAATCAGCATTTCTCAAACTGGTGGTCCTCAGAACCAGTTCCAAGAGTTGCTTTGTGGGTAAAAGAGCTCTGTGATTTAATTAAGTGATGGGAAACTCTGAGTTCAATACTCTTCACTACACTGCTTTTTTACTGAAGGCCTTCTCAGGGCCTTTAATATGTTAATGACACTGTAAATTTCCAAGGGGGACTATGTATGAAGTGTTACCCTTAGTTGGCCTTAGATACAGTGGAATACACTTATCATATCCTTCAAGTAAAGTTTCAAAGAAATGTTGATATAATATGCAAAGTTGACATTTTACATAATCTTTCAAAATAAAGACTAAAGCAAAAATGTTATGAATAAAGTTTTTCTATCATTAGCATTGAGAATAAATTATATTAAATATTTTGATGTTAATTACATGAACTAAGAACACAAAATAGGTCTTTCAGAAAGAATATTATATACTTACCTGATCTCTATTGGCATGATGTAACACTATTTAAATAGGAAAATTCCAAGAATGTTAATGACTCAACTAGCTTTTACCACTCAAGAATATTTCAGGCACTCAACTAGGTCTACAACCTTCTATATTTTGAACTTGTCTTCATTTCTTTTATCTGGTTAAATCCTTCTGAATGTAGATTAAATATTAGAGTCTTAAGATGTTAACACTTGAGCTTATAATATATTGTTTTGTTTAACAAGCATTTATGGAAGTCTGTTTTCATTTCTAAAAGCTCTAATAATTCAATGAACCTTAACATAAGTACTTAACAGGTGGGATACTAGAGAGACATTAAAAAGATAAAATATTTTATTAATTGGTAGTTAAATAAACATAGTAATTCATCAAAACAACAAAGCACAAGTCCATTTTTCAACTTTGTACTACACCCAGAGATAACTTTCACATGTTGTGTTTACGTCAGTGACTGGTTTTAAGTGGTTACAGAGCTTAAATGAAGTGAATTATTGAATAAAGTCATATGTTCTAATAATATAAATCAGCATTTCTCAAACTGGTGGTCCTCAGAACCAGTTCCAAGAGTTGCTTTGTGGGTAAAAGAGCTCTGTGATTTAATTAAGTGATGGGAAACTCTGAGTTCAATACTCTTCACTACACTGCTTTTTTACTGAAGGCCTTCTCAGGGCCTTTAATATGTTAATGACACTGTAAATTTCCAAGGGGGACTATGTATGAAGTGTTACCCTTAGTTGGCCTTAGATACAGTGGAATACACTTATCATATCCTTCAAGTAAAGTTTCAAAGAAATGTTGATATAATATGCAAAGTTGACATTTTACATAATCTTTCAAAATAAAGACTAAAGCAAAAATGTTATGAATAAAGTTTTTCTATCATTAGCATTGAGAATAAATTATATTAAATATTTTGATGTTAATTACATGAACTAAGAACACAAAATAGGTCTTTCAGAAAGAATATTATATACTTACCTGATCTCTAATTTGGGAAGTAAGATTTTCCATGTCTCCAGTAAAATATTCAAGCCTTTGTTTGTAAATTTTAGATGCCTTTTTTAGAGCTATAGTTTTTTGCCTATTTAATTCTTTCATTGCTACAGCCTCATCCTTATTCTTTCTCAATTGCAAGATCCATTCAGCTCTCTCGCTTTCTAATCTCTAGAAAAATATTAGCAGTATTTTAGAATTCCAATGTTTATACAAATATTGTAATAATATGTAATCTTCCACACAGATTTCATCAAAAGGATTAATCATAAAATTAATAGAAGCAAAACAATGAAAAAGGTGATTTCACCAAAGTTCATTCGTAACCATTTATAGAATGACAATTTAAAAATATAAGCCTGCATGAAACTGGTGCTACTCTTATTAAATATACTAATATTGCTGAGTATGGTACAAACACTAGTTTCCTTAAAACTTCTGTAATTAATTAGAACTTTAAAAAACTTCACATTTAGAATACTATATGTAGTACGAGTTATCATGAATCAAAAAAACTAATTGAGCTAGACACAATTCAAACAATAGGTATACAAAGCTCAAAGGAACTAGGTAGCTCTCCAAATATATTAGGACTCTAGTTTGAATGATACAGGTCTAAAGGATATATGATTAAAATCAATAGGTCATGAATGGGCTAGATGAGATAAACAGACATACTTACCCAAATTTAGCTTACTAGAATTAAGGGGCATGCCTTGACACTCGAAAGAATTACATCAAGGACAATAAATAAAAGTACTGCTTCATCCAATGAGTATTAAGTTTAAGGAAGTTAGTATTCTAAGACCAAATAGTTTTCAATAAAGAAATGACCACCAGATCCCTAAGAGTTAGTAAGGGTAAAAAGATGTTTGAGGGCATGTTTCCAAGCATTGAGCTTAATGGTGTTAATTGGCATGACTGTTTTATTACATATCTCTTGGTAACATAACCAAAGACAAAATATTAATTAAGCTTAGTAGATAATGGATATAATTGAGTGTGTTAACTCTTATGTTTCATTCCAAATTACTTTAAAACTCTATATTTAAATTTTGAGTACTAAATATGTAAGAATTTAAAGACAAGATTTTAATGCTTTTACTTTTTTTTGGAAGTTGTGTAATAACGGAAAAGAATGTAAAATTATTACAGAATTTAGGTTTTAGTATCCTATTTCTTTAATAGTCACGTAAAAAGAATAATCAAAGGAGTCACAGTAAAAGATGGGGCTTTTCTATTTAACCCTATAATCAACAAAAACTGTGCTTAACTTCCACTAAAACTGAGATTAAGAAATACACACACACACACACACACACACACAGCAGTCATTCCTCTAAGAAACCACAGGGTGTCGTCATCATACCATGAATAATTGCCACACTTTAAAAACCTTTTTAATTACCATTACCAAAGGTAAAGTAAAATTGTTTTGAACAGGGCTCCAGTCAAGACTTTCTCACTAGATTAATCAAATTCCACAGTTGAACAGTATTAGAGAGTGCATTGAAACTGTCAAATTGTTTTTATAGTTTCAAAATAACCACCACAGTGATTTGCCAAATAAATGGACACATATTTAGTTAACTATTTGACCTTTTCCTATTTCCAAAGTAAACAGTAAATACACATACTGCATATTCTAAAGATAATTTTTCTGTTTCTCTTCTAAAATGTGAAAATATTCCTACTCTAATTGCTATAAACATCTAGAAAAAATGGGTTCAAAGTATCTATGAGGTAGTTCTCAGAGGACTATAATTCAAAATTTTTAAAGACACAATACAATGAATTGACTCAAAAATACTAAAAAACTGAAGTTTATGTTGTCAAGCTGATTTCATTGTGTTTACACTTTTAAAAAACCCAGAACTTGTTAAACCTACAGCAAAGAACTAAATTCTGACTCCCAATTACTTAATACCTTAAATTCCAAACGTATGCATGTTAAAGGAATGCAGAAAAATCAGTGACCTAACACACTTCTTCTAATCATTTCTAAACAGTAGCATTTTTGTAAACTCAAGAGTGTTAGGCACGGGAATGCAATGGCAAAACTCTTAGGATTTTAGCCTATTTATATTCTTGGTCTCTAAATTATCACAGATATATTACAAGTAACTGTTAAGCTCACTTTGAAAAATAATTTAGTATTTCATTTTTAAATTAAAGAACACTTTCAAAAACTTCCCCAACTGTTGTTTGAGGACATAATTAAAATTGTGTATAAGAGAAATTGTAGTAGGTGATCATCTGAAATGTTAAATCACACATACTCTCCTATTTACCATGACAGAGGAATGCAGTACCAAGTCTAGTTCATCTGTAGTGCCCTCGGTCATTGATGCAAATACACAAGGAATCTACAGGGGAAAAGTGTTATAGTACATGTAGGAAAACACAGGACATCTGCATAAGCCTCTTAATGTCCCCTTGATGGGCAAAAGCTTTTTGTCATTAAAAAAAAACAACAAATCCAAGTGCAGCCTTGAAACATGTGACACAGATTGCAGACATCTGCCATGACTCAAGAGTGCAAAGGAAAACAGAAATTTAACACAGATGCCCTCACATTCAGTTTGTACACTTCCCTTGTGAAAGTGGTAACACAGCTTCTTTCTTTGGGCAAAAATAATGACAGTAGATCCAGTTAGCTTGTGTCATATCATACATAGCAAACTCAAATTCTTATCTCAAAGTGACCATGAACCTTCCAAAAGAATAGTTAACCAATCAACTTACACCAAAAAAATTCCCCTTGATTATACTGCTAAAAAACTTCACAAGGAGGTTAACCAATTTTAAAGTTATTACCATTAGAAACAAAAACAAAAATGATAAACATTTATTGACTGCTTACTAAATGTATGTGAGAGTATATATTTATGTAGAGAGTAGGAAAAAAACTGTAATATTGTATACATAAATGTTGAAACGTTTCAATGTCTTAAAAAGTTTCAATGTCTTATTTTCTCTTTTACTTTTACAAAATTTTCACAATAAACATAAACTACATAGTAAGAAAGATTTTTGAGTAATTCAAGCTATACAAATCCTTCCTAGATAGGTACTAAAGACACAGCATTTTATATTGGGATTTGGAGCCAAATCTTTAGAAGGGCCAGGTAACTTAAGATTCAAATTTGCCTCACATATGTATTTCCAATGGCAACACTTAAATTGAATCATTTCAAAACCACCATATTCCAAAATTAAGGAAATGTTTTATATTCATATGTTAGCTTTATCACTTTAGCTATAAAAATGGATGAATATTTATAACCTTTATATATTCTTTTAATTTATCATTCTCTGCTTCTTTTTTTTGAATTTGGAGCTGTAGTCGTTCATGCACTACTTTTACTGATTGTGAAAAACGGTTTGCTTTCAAAGCATTTGCCTGTAACAGAAAAAAAAAATCTGTTATTTAATGTATTTCTCCACAATCTTTAGCTCCACCCATATTTAGACATAATCTACAAAGTTGATATTAAGCGAAATACCACTTCACATAAAAATAACCTTCCACCCCATTACAAATGCATTTTATATGAAACTACTTAACAGGTCCTAACAATTACCTCTTTTAAAAAATCCCTATAAACATCAAAATTGCTTAACTTATACTAAAATCAAAATACAAATTTATACACAGTTCCTAATATACAGTGATTTCCACCAAGTACAAAGTACCCTGACTGAAACACCATAAAAATCTAAAGAAAAAAAACCCTTTAAAAAATGAAGATGCTATATTTGACGCATAAAAACTTGTAAATTATCCAAATAATCTAAAAACCTTTCAGTGTCAATTTCTGAGGGTATGGGGGCCAGGATAGAAAGAAAGCAAAGAGGTAGTTTTTTCTCTTTTACTTTTACAAAATTTTCACAATAAACATAAACTACATAGTAAGAAAGATTTTTGAGTAATTCAAGCTATACAAATCCTTCCTAGATAGGTACTAAAGACACAGCATTTTATATTGGGATTTGGAGCCAAATCTTTAGAAGGGCCAGGTAACTTAAGATTCAAATTTGCCTCACATATGTATTTCCAATGGCAACACTTAAATTGAATCATTTCAAAACCACCATATTCCAAAATTAAGGAAATGTTTTATATTCATATGTTAGCTTTATCACTTTAGCTATAAAAATGGATGAATATTTATAACCTTTATATATTCTTTTAATTTATCATTCTCTGCTTCTTTTTTTTGAATTTGGAGCTGTAGTCGTTCATGCACTACTTTTACTGATTGTGAAAAACGGTTTGCTTTCAAAGCATTTGCCTGTAACAGAAAAAAAAAATCTGTTATTTAATGTATTTCTCCACAATCTTTAGCTCCACCCATATTTAGACATAATCTACAAAGTTGATATTAAGCGAAATACCACTTCACATAAAAATAACCTTCCACCCCATTACAAATGCATTTTATATGAAACTACTTAACAGGTCCTAACAATTACCTCTTTTAAAAAATCCCTATAAACATCAAAATTGCTTAACTTATACTAAAATCAAAATACAAATTTATACACAGTTCCTAATATACAGTGATTTCCACCAAGTACAAAGTACCCTGACTGAAACACCATAAAAATCTAAAGAAAAAAAACCCTTTAAAAAATGAAGATGCTATATTTGACGCATAAAAACTTGTAAATTATCCAAATAATCTAAAAACCTTTCAGTGTCAATTTCTGAGGGTATGGGGGCCAGGATAGAAAGAAAGCAAAGAGGTAGTCAATATTAGAAATTAAGAAAATATGATGAATTAAGCTCAAAATTTGCTTACCTTTTCATTCTGAAACAAACAAGACAGTTCTTGGATATAGGCCTCCTTCTCAAACACCTTCTTCTTAAGATTCTTCAGCAAATATAAGAGTTAGAAATATCACAACTTGGATAATGGTGCTAACTTTATAAAGCCAAACAGCATAGAAAAAAATGTCAGAAGAATAGACATAAAAATCTAAAAAGACTTACAATATTCTCACTTTCATTATCAGTTAGCTTCTCTAACACGCTGGATGAACTGTCCTCTGTCTGTGAAAAAAAGATGTTATATATCAGTGGTCATGAACTATACTTTTCTACATAAAAAAGTAGAAATTGGATTAAGCATCACTCAAGAAATTACTATGGACAACTACTATGCAGTTAAGATTTTTTAAAAAGCTAACCATCAAAAGGATTTTTGCCTAAGTGCCCCAAATCATTTTTTGTCCAAATGCATGAAATTAGTTCATTTAGTAATCACTAAATATTTCAGTAACTACAATTAACACAAAAAACACAAAAAATCTTATATGCAAACAAAGCTCACAGTGGTATTTATAAGTAGGTAAAAATTATAAACAACTTGCCTTCTAACAGTAAGAAAATCTTTAAAGAATTACAGCAAATTAGTAACAGAATTCTATGTAGACATTTAAAATGAAAACAAAGAAGAATGTTTGAGGGTCATACTCCTGATTTAGAATGTGAAAAAGCTATGAATTCCTTTCACCCAAAAGCACATATGCACATATATATAATGCAAAAGTTACACACAATTTCAGAGGTTCAAGGCTGCACGAGTCAATCCTTGGACTCTAAATATACATGGTGGAACTACTTGGCATACATGTATCTTTTAATTTCCTTTGTGTATATATGACTTGTAAATGAATGTTCACAGCAGCTTTATTGGTAACAGCCAAAAAGCAGAAGCAACCCAAGTGTCCATCAACTGAAATACAGATCAATAAGACTGATACACCCATAAAACAAAATATTATTCAGCAATAAGGAGAAACAAAGCACTGATACATACTTTAAAACATTATGTTGCATGAAAGATGGCACAGTTAGGAACACTATATATGATTCCATTTATACGAAATGTCCAAAATTAGCGAATCCAGAGACAAAAGTAGACAATAGGCTAATGAGGGTAGGTGGAATTAGGAGGTGAACTTCTAAGGAGCATGGGGATTCTTTTGTAATGATGAAAACGCTTTAAAATTGATTGTAGTGAGGGCTACACAACTGTGTGAATATAATAAAAATCACTGAACTGTATGCTTTAAATGGCTGAATTGTGTGGGATACAAATTAAATCTCAACAAAACAGTTACCAAAATAAGGATACATGAATGTATGAATATAAGATACATATAAGCTTAAGTTTTAAGAGTATTTCATTTTAATCAGCTGAAATGAATATAACAAATGACTACATTTTCTATAAAAATATGCTGCTTTCATATAGAACTATTTATGAAACATTAAAAGTGGAGGTTTGGTGATTGCCATTTCAAACAAAAATTCGAGAATTATTTTTTTAAATGTACCAATATTTTAATTTCCCTAGTTTGAGAAATAATATACCCTTCGAGCAAGCAATGTCATTATTAAATTGGTGCTTAGTGTTTCTTACTTGTTGGTATTCTGTTTCTCTAAGAAGATTTTCTAAAGCTTGTTTTAGATATTTAAAAGTGTCTAATTCTTTTGTTAACATTTCCTTCTGTTTAGAAAATGTCCTCAAATTGGATGCAGAAAGATTAGCCTGACAAGATAGAAAAACCACACACACATTATAAGACATAGTATTATGATACTCTAAAATATAATTTGACTATTATCAAAGAATACTTTTGTTCCTGACAAGTCATTCTTTTGCACATAGTAATAGTAAACTTTGCCAGGTTTATTAATAGTAAATAGGATCTATTACATAGTATATTAAAGTAAAATGAAATCAAAATAAGGATTTAAACCCTAAAGTATTTCAGGCATTTATTTTAATAAAAATTAATAGAACAAAATCTACTTTTTGTCCCTAACTCAAACTTTAGTTTGAAATTTCAGAGTAGAGATTTCTATTCTATAAAACACTATAGAAAACAGATATATTTCATCTCTCAGAATATTTTAGTTTTAAATTCACTTGAGAAAAGTTGACTCTCAACTCCAGGTAAGTCAAGCACCAAGGCATAGTTTCTAGCTTAGCCTCTTATTAAGTCCATGTCTGAGATCATCTCTGAGGAAAAGAACTGCAATTAATGACACAGGAATAAAGAACACTGATATATCAAATACCAGTATGTGAGCATAAGTATTTTAAAGATATAAGTCCTCAGCTAATGCATTCTGAGTACTATGCAAACTTTTCATTTTATTAGATGTTCACAAGTTAAGTACTCACATTTTCAAAATTAATCTTTTCAACGGTGTCCTTAAATAATGGCAAAAGTAACTCTATAGAACTGGTTGCCACCTCAGCTTCCTTAAATGTTGCTTCCAATTCAGTCTTTCCATATAGAATGTCCTGGTTTTGACTAATTAGATAGGCACAAATAAAATTTAAGTTTAATCTATCACTTAAACTAATTACTTTTTGTGCACATACAGCCTAACTACTACAGTTCCATAAATTGCTCTGCAAAATGTAACAGTAAGTGTTGAAATTTTGTCTGTATTTCCTTATTTTTTACTACACTTTATACACAGAAAGAGTTATTAAAATGTTAAGATATGTAAAACACAAATACCACCAACAGCCCTGTTCATTCACTGGTTGTCTGATGAATTATTCAACATCCCTTTTCTGGTTTGTAAAATCATTTGGATGCATGTGTTTGTCTTTTTTTTCCTCCCTTTCTTCTCCCTTACTCCAAAAAGATATGTTTTTCTAGGCCTTATTCACAAACTCTTTGTTGAAGCTTATTGTTCTTCACAAAAAATTTCTTCCAGAAGAATGAATGGGCTAAACACAATGGAGCACAAAAAGTACACCTCTCCACATTCTTCACATTTGGCTTTATATCATTATCATTCAAAACACAACTGGTAGTATTTACCTTTTGATAATGTTTTACTTAGACATTCCTGTGTATCACTGTAAGATATATATTTGGACACAATTTTTACATCCTGAAATCAGGACACTTCTTACAATCGTTGCCTGTCAGGAGGTAGTCTTGAGCTTTCCTGCACACGCCCAAAACTTACAGAATAAGTATTCAATTCTTTGGAGAATATCTCAGAGATGGGGTGCAGATCTTTTTTAACCCCTAAGAACTAAGGGTCATAGAGATGGATTGAGGCAGCTGGTGAATAGGAATGTTTAGGGACATCCCAGAATCAAAACTCCAATGAAGGCTTACTATATAGCATAATTAAGAGCCCAGTGCGATTACACTTTATTTCAGTTAAGATGGTTCGAAGAAATGCTTTATCATCAATGCTCTTAAAAGGACAAAATTCGCTGAAATGAAAAGTGACTCAGAAGAGCTGGACTTTGAGCATGAAGAAGTTTTGAAAATACCTGACCACACTTACATTTTGGTTTTATACAAACAGTTATTTGGATTAAAAGTTGATGTATAATTAAGCTTGAAGAAGCTTTTCAATATTTAGAAATAAAATTCTAAGTGACAAGAAAGCATTACATTTTTTCTTATTGGCAACAGTTTTCTTTTTTTATGGAAAAAACATAATGGTTTATCAATAATTAATGGAAGCTTAGAGGCTATGTCAAAATGTAGAATGTTCTTAAGCACCACTAACCTAAAGTGATGGGCCTAAAGTGTGGCTCTAAATAACAACTGTCCATTATTAAAATCCTTAGGAAGAAAAATCAAGAATTATTATATATGACCGAATATCATCTCATTTATAACAAGTTAAACTAGAAGAAGCTGGACTATACTATCTAGTGATAATAATGTTATTTTAAGATTGTCATTTTGAGCAGCAGTGAGTCATATAAATAACAAGTATATTATACATTTCAAAGAGACAAAATATGACAGGTACTTGTTATATAATAATATTCCAAATGACAGTGAATTAGTACTCAATAACTACATTTCCAATATTCCATAGTACTGATATTTTCATTTACCTTCATGAAAGAAGCTTTACACTTCACAAATTCTTAATAGAGGTCATCAAGTTACTAAAAAACTAGCCAAATTCTGCTAAAATAGTACATTTGTAATCAGATTAAACAACTATATGCATTACTAAATTGAAGAAGTTATTCTTGAAAGAATACCATATTTGATCTAAGTCATTTATAATATGGACAAAACATGAAACCCTGAAATCAGAAACTTAGATATCCCCACAATTGTTGAGAATACCAGCTAAGATGACATTCACTGCCACGCTGTGGCAAATGTTCCCTTTCTGGTCTGCTCTGAAAATGGTGAAATGGTTCTTCTGAATGACTTCCATCATTTGCAGGCTTTTCCATAAATTCAGGAAATGGATTTATAGGTGGCTTCCACAGTAACTTCTCCACATAAGCTGAAAACTAAGAAATATTTTAGTTATTAAATAATTTCAGTAGATTCTTTTTTTCTGTCATTACCTTATAAGCTAAAATCACGAAGATGCGTAAAACAATAACACTGCACAGTCAAAACTTAAATTATAATTCTTATTCATTGGGATACTAATTCAAAATAATATCATAACTGCATGGTACAGCCATTGAGCAATTGCCAGTTTCTGAAAGTTTCCACTATTCTCTAAATCTACAAGAATGTAGAAATTTCTATTAGTTTAGTTCTTAAAGCATTACAATAATCTTAATCCACTCAGACTAGAAAACAGATATAAAAACCATGGATTAAGCACGGTCCTCAGTTTCATTAGATCCATCCAGTAGGAAATGTATGTTATTTATGCCTTAAACAGAAGAAATTTAACATGCTTTTGAAAGCATCTGGCAACAACAGCTGCAAAAAAAGATGTTATTCTTTTGAAAACAGACCTTTCCAAATTAAATTCATTTATTCCTATTCCCAGCTCAATCTAGGATAGTCTTTGGTGATAATGAATAGACAGATCACATTACTTCTGTGTTTTACCAAAGAATCCAATAGTTTTCACTCAAACTTGGAAATGTCATTCTTTAAATGTGAATATTTATGAATTTCTTCCAAACTGTTCTATTTTAAATAATGAGTTAGTGCTTTAGAAATCATTAAAACTGTGTTTTCACAATGGTAACATATGGTAATATATCTCCCTGACTTCACTTTATACTTTCATAAAATCAATGTTATAAAGTCTTCTGCATTTTTTAAAAGATAATTTACCTCTTTGTCATTTATTTTTATACAGTATTATAAAACATATGTTCAGGAATTTTTAATACTTTAGGTAGATGTGAAATTATAGGTTGAAAATTATTCACAATATTTAGTTAGCAATTAAAAAACCTTCCAAAGTGTCTGTAAAAGCCTTTTATCTATTTTTGATTGAAGGTTCTATATACCACAGAGACAAATATTTAGGTCCTAGGTCAATTTAAAGTATGTTCATATTTTTTAAATAACAGCAACTCATGCCCAAATGGAATTGCAGAATAACCTACAGATAGTCTAAGATGACTTACTAGAAGGCTGCAAACACACAACCTTTGTACTAGAGCATAATAATATTTGAGCTATCTGTGGTCTAGAATAATTAAAAATATACAGATACACAAAATCAAAAGAAAAACCCAAATATAAGGGTACAGAAGAATATGCTCTGGGTAAGTCACTGCAATAAAGAGAACTATCATCTACTAATTTGTGATTGCCACCCCACTCAGAGAGGAACTGGGATTCATCTTTCATCCATTCACTTCTTGGAGTATTTGTTTTTCTGCACACTGGAATCTCAAGAAAGAACGTCTTATTTATATTTGAATCCTCTGCACCTGTAAGCCTTGTAAAAACTAAGCTATAATTAAAGGAGAGGACTCAAGTCACAGAGTAATTAATGAATTTAATGAATGTAATACATAAAGACTTCCTTTTACTTAGTCACCCCTTTTTTCATCTTTTTTGGGATCATTAAAAAAAAAGATTCCTATATTTGGAATAAAAGTTTAAAAATCAATATAAGAGGATATGGATGGCTTTGTGGGCTACTGGCAGCTGTTTATAGTTTTTCTAGAGGTTTTATCACCAAATAAAATTTTTCTGCTTCAACACCTATCATAGGTAACTGTCTTAACAGTAAACAAATTAACACATTGTAAAAATAGAGATTTTAGAATGACTAAACATTCTCAGATGTTATCTACATTACTGATTCCTCCAAACTCAAAGCAGAGAACTGTGTAAGTCAAGTCTCAGGTATTTCCTAGAAATTAAGAGAATTGTATTTTTACAAGCTAGAAATATTTTACAGGATAAAAATTGTTCAGAGGTTCTAAGGTACACCACTATTTCTGTTATGACAGTACCATAACTGAAAACATGTGCTGAACATCAATGTAATAATATTTTTAGAATATAATCCTACCTATATAAAAAATGCTACCATTTTAGTGAACTAAACATATTCCTGTATGGAAAAGCAGGTATTTCATAAGAAATTGTTTTCAATTATATATAACATACTGCCAACTGACAAATAAATTATACTTTGTACAACTTGTTAATGGTGAAACGGACACATTCTGCATACAATTTCATGATCAAATCCCTAAAGATTAGCAATTTTATATTCTTAATGTACAAAGAATTAAAGAACTGCTTATACAGAGATGACTTTACCAATTCTCCACTGGTAAGAAAAAGGCATGTATTTAATGCGTTTTTTAGGCCTGGTCATAGTATATCCTGATCCAGCCACCCTCACTCAACTATATTCCATTTTGACCAACAAGCATTTGAGGGATAGTTCTTCAGGAACCATGAGGCTGGCAAGGGTCAGAGAAAAGAAAGACCATAGTCTACAGCCTTCCTTAGCATCTGGATGGTTCTAAGTAAACTAACCAGCTGCAGACAAATATTTATTTAAATCTAATCTCTCGAAGAGAAAAGCATATGAATCTTGCAGATTTCAATCTGTTTTGCCATACATTAACTCTTGGAAAACTAGTTCCCAATGACTTCAAGCAAAAGCACATCGCTTGTGAAAAATTTACTATGAAATCTTCAGCAAGGAACACAAAGTGGACATAAGAATGCTGATCTCACTCTTCTAGGCACTAGTCAAAAGTTTACGAGAGAAGTTAGTGAAGGGCTTTTAAGACTCCTTAACGTCAACAAGGAGAGCAGAGAGCGAGCAGACCACTAAAATCAAGCGTGCTTAAGTCTCTGATACATGGGACTCATGAGAACATAGAAAAGGATACCTGATACAACTGGCAGAATCCTGGGAGACATCCCAGAAGACGTGGAACCTCAGTAGAATCCTGCAGAACAAGTTTGAGTTTGGCAAAAGGAAACAGAAAAAGGCATTCCAGACAAAGGGTAAAGTAACGGCAAGAGCAAGCTACCATGAGGGAACCTGTCTTGCAAGAGTAAGTGGCAAAAGATGAGACTGATACACTGAACGTGGTCGCTGTATGCCAAGCTAAAGAGCTTGATCATTAAATAATTTTAAGCAGGGGAATGACAAGTCAGCAGTGCATCTTTAAAAGATAAATCCAGTGGTATTAAGGCAAATGGAGGAGAGCAAAATAAAAGCAGTGAAACTGGTTATTAGGGTCCCAGAAAGATGAAATTCCAACATTCTTTTCCTATCCAAATTTTTGAAGAAATAAAAAGTTGTTTCCATTGGTGATAAAAACATGAAAAACAATTAAAGGATTAGAATTACAATGCCAAAATAACATGAGATCAGTACATAAAGAAGTGATCAAATGTAACACCTCAGTTACCCATGACAATTTAGATGGACTAATATACATATAAATTCCAGAACATGACAGCTTATCCCTTTAAGTTTCAAAATTAACTTAGACCACTGAAGACTATCTTTGGAAAGTATTATTTCAAACAGAGTACAGGTAGACTAGCACAGTTTAACCATTCCTTGATGACCCAATGGCAACATACTGCAATGGAAGAATACTTGATTAGACTTACCAGTTTTTAGCCCTCTGAGTGACCTGACATGGGACAATCCTTGGCCACAGTGGGCCTGGGTTTTCTCTTCTACAAAATGAGAATAATCTTTGCCAGCCAAAGCTGTGGTGAGGTTTGAACAGAGTAAAATAGAAGCACTTAAAGGTGGGCTTTTTGTTGCCTAAGGATTCTTTGGCTACTCTTTCAAGCTGCTTTCCTACCAGGTCTTCTCTTTAAACGTTTTCATCTTAAAAAAAAAAAAATCACCTTGAGTCAGCCACTATTCTTGAATTATCTGTCTAGAATCAACTCTTCAAAACAATTCCCTCAAGGTCAATTCTTTGCAGGATTATTACAAATAACTCACGGTAGTTCATAAATTGAGTACTACTAAGCCAGAGTCGCAGGGAAAACAATTATTAACTTCCCACAGAATTGTGCCTAGGAGGTAGATGTCAACCTCACTGCTATAAGCAGCTCCTTGATTCCCATTCATTTGTACAGACCAGGCACAACGATTAACATCAACATAAAAAAGCCATTTTCTCATACCTTTGGGTATTTGGGATACAAAAACTGTACCGTAATATACATCTATTGTAAGATTAGAAGGGTAAGCAAAAAGGATTTCTATGGTTTGTTCCTTTAAGCACAACTAACCAAGTGGTGCTTGTAAATACTCCGGGACTCCATTGATTCAAAACATCTTAAGTTCTGCAGTAAGTGAGGTGATCGGGAAACTTGTGTCCACCATAGACTTTATCCCCAGCACTAGCCTCAATCTGTCTATGGTTTTCTCAGTAAATTCCACTTAACTGACCACCTATACTGAAAACCTGCCACTGACTGACTTAATCTCTTTATTACCACCACACCAAAGTGATTATTGTTCCCATTTTACAGATAAGGAAAACTGAAGCCAGCAACGTTGAGACCTGCCCAGGGCCGCACACTTTATCGAAGGGGTTTCCTGGAACCTAGAAGGACCTTGGAGAATTATTTCCTGAAGCGTCCAGTATTCTCAAGGAGCTCCAGGGCCTACCTCAGATGGTATAATTTATGGTGGGCGCTTAAAAGCCAGCAGAATGAGTAAGAGAACAAACACTATTTCGGAACGAAACACCCACAAGCTTGAGCCGGGCCGGCCAGAGGACAAGCCCACCTCGGCTAATCTACCCTGCTGTCCCAAGAACCACACCATTCCTGAGAAGAGGAGCCTAGCTGCTTTTTTCTCAGCACAGGCAGTAGGTCAGAGGTAAGTGAGGGATACGGACAAAAGTGGGCCGAGGTCTAGCTCTGGATAGTTCACCTCCGGGAACCACTACCGCAGTCCCAACATGCCCAAGGGCCACTGGAGGAAACAGCCTGGCGACCATGCAAGGCCATGACTCTCCCTCCCGGAAGCGCGCCTACGCCACACCTCTGCGTCAGTACGTCGCCGTGACGTCATCCCGCGGGGTCGCCGAGGCAAACGGTCTCTAACGTTAGTGTAAACCCCAGCAAGCTTACCTGTGCCCTCCTACCCTCGAACGGCGGGGAGTCAGCGGGATACAGAAGGCAGGGCAGTGGGTGAAAAGATGCGAGGCGCAAAGCAGGCGAATTCTTAGAACTGCTGCCTTGGAAGAGTGCCCGCCCAAGCGCCTGCGGGACAAAAGCGGGGCTGGCAACCAGCGAGCGGCTTCTGTGGCAACGGCCACCCCGCCCTCCCATTGGCCGCAGCCGGGCAGCCAGTGGGCTGCGTCAGGGAAGCGAGTGCCAGCGTCTGTTGCTATTGGAGGACGGGAGGGGGCGGGATGCGAGAGAGGCGGTTTGCTTCTCCCGTGGGGCTTTGTTTTTTTTTGTTTTTTTTCTTAAATATAAACCTTTAATTTTACAAAAAGGGCCGTAGTTGTATGTAGTTACCAAAAATGTTAAACTGAACTGAGCCGGAAAGGTAAATAGGGCTGATAGATTCCGGATTTTCTGACACTTGGCCTGCAAGTGTCCCGCTTTTGCTTTTTAAAGGGGAGATTTGAAAAAGTCAAGGCAACAGCGACCGGAAGAAACCTCGTTTTAAATGTATGATATTGTTCAGCTGAGATCCTTCCCTGGCCCTCTGTTTTCTTCTGTTAAATGGGAGAGCTGGGCAATGATCTGCAATGCACCTTTCAGGTCTCAAATTCTTTGTGCTACAGCCAACTGCTACGGTTTACACACTCCTGAACCAGGGCCAGAATTTATTTGGAAAGTACACTTTACCCAATGCATCAACTTAACGTTCATGTTAAAAATCTTACGTTATCATATCAAATTTACAAATAGAGCAACTATCAAATGAGCAGTTTAACCATGGGGTACCTCATTACTGTTTTTACTAAGGAATGTTTTCCATTGATGATTCCGGCACTGCTTTTTTTTCCCCAGCACTGGCTGTGCAGCAAAAAGTTCATGAGAGTTAAAAGTTCATTCGTGACACATAACTGTTTCATATGTGCAAATGCTAAAAGCACTGGGGACTTGGGATTTAAGTACCTAGTGTTTGGGGCTTTGTTTTTTTTTGTTTTTTTTCTTAAATATAAACCTTTAATTTTACAAAAAGGGCCGTAGTTGTATGTAGTTACCAAAAATGTTAAACTGAACTGAGCCGGAAAGGTAAATAGGGCTGATAGATTCCGGATTTTCTGACACTTGGCCTGCAAGTGTCCCGCTTTTGCTTTTTAAAGGGGAGATTTGAAAAAGTCAAGGCAACAGCGACCGGAAGAAACCTCGTTTTAAATGTATGATATTGTTCAGCTGAGATCCTTCCCTGGCCCTCTGTTTTCTTCTGTTAAATGGGAGAGCTGGGCAATGATCTGCAATGCACCTTTCAGGTCTCAAATTCTTTGTGCTACAGCCAACTGCTACGGTTTACACACTCCTGAACCAGGGCCAGAATTTATTTGGAAAGTACACTTTACCCAATGCATCAACTTAACGTTCATGTTAAAAATCTTACGTTATCATATCAAATTTACAAATAGAGCAACTATCAAATGAGCAGTTTAACCATGGGGTACCTCATTACTGTTTTTACTAAGGAATGTTTTCCATTGATGATTCCGGCACTGCTTTTTTTTCCCCAGCACTGGCTGTGCAGCAAAAAGTTCATGAGAGTTAAAAGTTCATTCGTGACACATAACTGTTTCATATGTGCAAATGCTAAAAGCACTGGGGACTTGGGATTTAAGTACCTAGTGTCGCTGATAAATCATGAACTTTTTGCAAGTTATCTAACTTTTCTGGGCCAGTCTTCTCATTGCTTAAAAAGGAGAAGGGAGACCTGTGGAGTTGGAGCAAGAAACATAATTCCGAGGCTTTCCAGCACTAACACTATTAAGAAAAAGAATTGTACACAGAAATTAGGCTCCTCATGAAAAAAAGTACTTGTTTTAATTAAACTGCTTTGGCATTAGATATAATTACCTTTACTAGACATTCAAGAGGAAACTTACAAAATGCCAAAATGATTACATTAGATTCTCAAATGGAAATTTTAACTGAATTGGCTGGTTAAATATGGCATCCCTCATCCTCTTAATTAAACTGTTCCTGATTTCTGGTTGGATAGTGAATTTTTACACAGAAAGATGCCCTATTCTATTATTATTTAAATGGGAAAAAATAATGCATTCTATCTCAAGCAAAAACCTGTTTCCCCCAAATATCATTAAGCATTTGACCACCTATGAAACAATGCATGAAGAATTTCATACTTTTTCTGTAAATGACCATGCAGTAAATATTTTAGATATTGTGGGTTGTACTGTCTCTGTGATATTTAACTCTGCCATTGTTGCATAAAGGAAGCAATCAGGCTACATAAACACATGGCTGGACTGTGTTTCAGTAAAATTTGATTTACAAATATAGGAACCAGGATAGAGTTGGCCCACAGGACATAGTGTGCAGACCTCTGATATAAAGCATTTAAAACATCAAGTGTCTAGTAAACTGAACTCATTAGTGATGCTCCTAGAGTACAGATAAATAACTCTGGCAAATGCCTTTTACTCATCCTGATATGTGTGGAACAATGGAAGTTGTTCACTTTCATCAGGAAGTGAGAAAATGTGAGAGAATGTATTTCTTTATGTAAGGACTATGTTAATTCTCTAATTCTCTGCCATACTTTAGTATGCAGGGCCCATGGTCATGAATTTTATCACCTTATGGGATATCACTTTTATCTGCTTCATTTATGATATTGTGCTGAGAGGACCTGATGATCAGGTAATAGTACATACCGTAGATGCCTTGTGTAGTAAATTGTCTTTCCATAGATGCAATGTGACCTTGACACTTTCTCATCAAAAGGCGGAGTATTTTACTTTTATTTGGCCTGGCTGTGTGATATATTTTGGAATACAAAATGCAGCAGGATTTTGTAAAATGCACCAAGACAGTGTTGGATGGTAAGTGTGTTTTCCTTCCTTGCAGCAACAAATATATACTATAATGAAAAAATAGAAAACAATGAAATACTAAATTAAAGATACCTGATGAATAATAAAAATAAATAAAAAATAAAAAAGCAATTTAATTAAAAAAATGGTGTGGTGGTGTGGTTACCTTTCCAAAGATGGCCTCCAAACAATTCTTCTCACTCCTATACACACATCACAAAAGGAGTCTAGTTCCCTCCTTTTGAATTTGAATGACAGAATGTAGTGAAAGTGAGTCCAGACCTAGGCCTCAAGACCCCTAGCAGGTTCTGCTTTCCTCTACTGAAAGTTAGGTGCCATATAAGAAATTCAATCACCCTGCCACAGAGCGAAACTCAGTAAGATCCCAGCAGTTCCAGCTACCTACCTGATGTGCCAGGCACATGAGCCACTGACTTTGAAGAGCCAGTCATGTTCCAGCTAAATGCAGCTGTGTGAGTAACCCTAGTTAACACCATGACCCAAGGGGATGCAAAGGGGAACAACTTTCATTTTGAGGGATTAACCTAATATTTCCCCGACCACTAGACCCAGGACAATTCGCTGAGATAATAGAACCCTGAACTTTCATAGGGTTTATCCCCCATTCTCTTAATTGCTTTTGTTCTTTCCAGTGTGTTGTGGTTTTCTTTTGCTACTTTAACCAATTCAGTGGTTTAAAACAATGATTTTATTTGTTCATGATTCTGTGGGTCCGAAATTCAGACAGGGTTCAGCTGGGTGGCTTTTCTCTCCACATGGCCAAAGCCAGGATCTCTCATCTCATCAAGTTGTAATCAGACTGCTGCAGAGGCTGGAACATTCAAGATGACTTTACCTCTAGTCTGGTGACTTGGTGGGCTCAGTTAGGAGGCTAGGACCTCTCCTACTCTATCCATGTGGCTCTACATGTGGCCATCTTGAGCTTTTTTTCATGGAATCTACATCCAAGTGAGTGTTCCAAGCAACACAGGCAGAAGCTGCAGATCTAAGGCCACATAAGTTGTACATAATCCCTTCTGCTGAATTTTATTATCCAAATAATGGGTAAGGGTCATTGATGAGAAAGGGTCAAGGTCACATTGCGTCTATGGAAAGACAATTTACTACACAAGGCATCTACGGTATGTGCTATTACCTGATCATCAGGTCCTCCCAGCACAATATCATAAGTGAAGTAGATAAAAGTGATATCCCATAAGGTGATGAAACTCATGACTATGGTCCCTGCATACTAAATTATGGCAAAGAATTAAAGAATTAACATAATCCTTATGTAAAGAAATACATTCTCTCACATTTTCTCACTTCCAGATGAAAGTGAATAACTTCCATAGTTCCACACATGCCAGGATGAGTAAAAGGCATTTGCCAGTTATTTATCTGTGCTCTAGGAGCTATTTCACCTGATAAGAAAACTACACCAGGATCAACATTTTAGTTGACCCATGTATCTTCTACAAAGGCCAAATGGAAGGTTCACTGAGAGGGAGGTGAGAATCACCATTTCTGCATCTTTCAAGTCTTTGGTGGTGGTACTAATCACTAGAATTGCTGTAGGAATACTGTATTGCTTTTGACTTACTCTTCTGTTAGAAAAGGACAGTTTCAGGAGCTACCAATTATTCTTCTTATAATAGCCATGAGTTAAGAAGCCAATGCCAAGACGTAAATCTCTATTAAGGTGATGAAGTTCAGGTCTCTCTTCAACAGAGCTAGCAACTTTTCATTCTACAGATCAAGCAGGATTTTAGTAGGCTTTCCATCCATTTCAATTCTAGAAAAACCCACCGGTAAAGATCCTTCCTCATCAAGCAACTATGATTAATCCCAAGCAACACAGGCAGAAGCTGCAGATGTGCGTTAGCAGCATCCTTGGCCTCTATCAACTAGTTGCCAGTAGTGGTTGATCTATAGCTGCCTATTACTGGCCCTGCTGCCTATTTAAGTAATTAC